TTCACTAAATTTGGAAAATGTTATTGTCATTTCAAATATTTTTCTGTCCTTGCCCCCTTATTCTTTGGGGACTACAATTAAACCTCTTTTAGGCTGTTCAAAGTTGTCCCACCTATCATTGATGTTCTTTTCATTTTTTTATTATGGTAAAATGTACAAAACAAACTTATTTTAACCATTTTTAAATTCAGTGGCATTAAGTACATTCATATTGTTCTGCAACTATCACAGCTGTCCTGTTTTAGAACTTTTTCATCATCCCAAATGGAAACTCTGTACCCATTAAATAATTACTCCCCATTGTTTCCTACCTCCAGCCCTTGGAAATCACCATTCTACTTCCTGTATCTATGAATTTAAATACTCTAAGTACCTCATCTATGCATACAATATTTGTCCTTCTGTATCTGGCTTATTTCAGTTAGCACACTGTCTTCTCAACTTTCCTTTTAAAGGCAGAATAATATTCTCTCATTTTTACAAAATTTCTTCTTATGTTTCATTTTGAACTATGTCTGTTGTTATGTCTTTAGTTTTATTATTATCTTCTGCAATGTCTAATCAAATATTAATCGTATTGAGTGTGTTTTTCATTATATATATTGTCATTTAATCTGTAGAATTTCCTTGTCTGTTAATTCTGTTATCTGGTTTAATTTTGATTGATTTTCTACTCATCATAGATAAATTTTTCTACTTCATGCTTGATCATCTTTTTCTTTTTTTTAATCCTCACCTGAGAACATTTTTCATTGTTTTTAGGGAGAGAGGAAGGGGGAGAGAAACATTAATGTAAGAAAGAAGCATCCATTTCTTGCCCCCTGTACTTGCCTGGATCAGGGATTGAACCTGCACCTGAGGAATGTGCCCTGACCAGGAATTGAACCCACTACCTTTTGGTTAGGGACAGTGCTCCAACTAACTGAGCCACACTGGCCAATGCCATGCCTGACATTCTTTGATTGGATGCCAGACATTGTGAATTTTCCCTGTTGGGTGCTGAGTACTTTTTATTCCTACTAATATTTTTGAGCTTTGTTGTGGAATGTAGTTAAATTACTTCAAAACAATTTGATCCTTTTGGGTTTTGCTTTTTAGAGTTTTTCTGTTGTACTAGAGATGTGGTGAGTCTAGGTTATGGTTTCTTACTATCAGCACTATAACGTTTAGCATCAGATAATTCTTTTTTTGTAAGGGACTGTCCTGTGCATGGTTGAATGTTTAACAGCATCCCTAGGCTCTACCCTTTAGATGGCCACCCACTTCAAGTTGTGACAACCAAATATGTCTCCAGAACTTGCAGGATGTTTTTTGGTATGTTCCCCCTATGTTCTCCCACCCCTTATTGAGAATTACTGCTTTAGGGTTAATTTTGCCTTAGCACTGTGGCAAGATCTTCCTGTATATTCTACTCAATGCCCTATGAATCATGAGCTTTTCTTTTTCAGTCTGTTTGCTGTAGGCAATTTTATTGGCCTTGTGTGAGTACTGGGCACTGTTCTCTCTAATCTTTCTGGATGGTTCTTTTTTCAGTCTTGTTTGATTTCCTCACATATATGCACTGGTCAGCATTCAGCTGCATATTCAAGGGAGATGCTCTGCAGATCTCTGGAGTTCCATCTTAGTCTATTCGGGCTGCTATAACAAAAATACCTTGGATTGCTTAAAAAAAATACATGTTTATTTTTCATAGTTCTAGAGGCTGAGTCCAAGATCAAAATGCCAGCTGATTTTGTGTCTAGTGAAGTCCCACTTCCTGGCTTATAATGGTCCTCTTCTATTTTCACAGGGCCGAAGGGGTGAGAGAACTCTCTGGGGTATCTCTTATAAGGGCACTAATTCCATTTATGAGGGTTTTGCGTTTGACCTAATCACCTCCTAATACCATCCCACTGGGGGTTAGGATTTCAACATAAATTTTCTGGGGGGAGGGACACACACATTCAGTCCATAACAAGCTCTCTGTCTGTGCATGTTTCTCCTCTCTAGTATTGTATCCCATGAACACTAGCCACGTTGATCTCTTCAGACTCTCAGCTCTATCTTAACTTAGTGAGTCTGCCTGGCCTCATCCAGTTTACATCAGGGGCCATTCATGGCCTAAAAACTCTCAAAGCAGTAGGGCTCACCTTGTTTCCTCACTCTCCTTTGTTGTCTGATGCCCAGGGTCTTGGAATTATTTTTCTCCCCTCACGTATTTTGTCTGTTTTTTGGTTGTTTCAAGTGGGAGGGTAAATCTGGTCCCTCTGAGTACATTTTGGAGAGAAGCAGAAATCTCTAACTGATAATTGATTCATATTAATTATTGGTTAAAGCTGAAAGTGTCCTAAACATTTACTAATCTAATATCTTCATTTTGTGGATTTGTATGAGACCCATAGCTGTCATATTCTTTGTTCAGAGTCTCTTGTTCCCTGTAGTTTGTATGGTACAACCTAAGTATTAAATTGGCCCTAAAGCCTTCTGTCAGTTTTTAATATACCTCTTCAGTGCAGGTTTTTGCAGTGTTTAACTAATAAATAAATATGGGCCCTTAACTACATGTAGTAGCATACAATTAAATGACATGCCCTAACCTGATGAAGCACAACAGTGGAATGCACCATGTTTTGAGGGCATTGCCACAGCAGGTTTGCAGACTTCCAGGAGACTTCCTGTATGATAATTCATTTTCTAGCAGCTAAAACACTACCATCAAAGCCTGTTTGTTAGTCTGATTGAGGGTGTAAATAACTGGTGATATAAGACTGAAAAAATAATGAAAGAGAAGATCATTTTGAGCAGTTTATGATACAAAGTGAACTGGAGAATAATGCTACAAGGATGGGAGTGACTTGGAACTCGTCTGTGGTAAGCTGTTGGGAGAAAGGGGAAAGGTAGCAAATTAGAAATAAAATGACAGAAGTTGGACCTTGTTTTGTATGAGATAAGCTTCTCAAATTTTTGACATCATAACTGCTGCAGAGTTTGTAGCTTGTGGTTGTTGGACATTCAAGGATAAAGTAATTTATTCAGAGCATACCTTGAGGGAAAGATATGTATGTAGTGGGTAGGATGAAATCATCTGGCTACGTATGTAAACTAAAACATAGTGAAATCATGTGTTAATGAAATCTTATATATTTATATAATTAATGATATGCATCAATGTGTATAAATTCTATGTGTTAAAGTGAATAAATCATAATTCTTTGGCCTTTGGGGTGGTGATTATATGCTATAGCTAAAAAAAGAGTTAAGTAAGAGTTTTTTGTAGCTCTCCAATATAACAATTAGACGGTCTTTTAAAACTTGCAGATAACTTAAAGATGGATGTGCTGTTAATTTTCTAAGACTGAAAGGTTATTTTTTATTGATAATATTAAAAGCTCTGTTTGGAAACAAAATATGATTTATGGCTTCGAAGAACTAGGGTTGCTTTTTAGTAATTAAGAAATGAATATTTAATGAGAGTATTTCTTGTTTGCTGAATATTTTTGATGGTATAAGTGGTGCTCATGTAGTTAAGTATCTGCCTTTTTTGAGTGATTATGTCTTTATGGCAAGAGTTTGTGTGGCTAGGGAGAGAATGAAGAACAGTAGCAGCTTTTTTTACTTTCCTCAGCCTAAGGAAGTACAGATGCTTTTTCATAGCCCAAAATACAAGTTATAAGGGAATGGTAAACACCAAAATCAGGAATTATTACATGTGGGAGGAGAGGAAGGGGATGCTCAGAGAAGGGCATTCACTTGTATTGATGTATTGTTTTGGTTTTAAAAGCAAACTTTTAAAATAAAATTTAACATATGTAGACAAAAGTGTAGAATAGATCATAAGTATCTAGCTTCATGAATTTTCACAAAATGAACATACCAGTAAACTAGTACCCAGGTTGAGAAACAAAACATTTGTATTGGATCTGTTTGATTTTCTTTCAGGCTGTGTAGTGAGCACATGGGTATTTGTTGTATTATTCTTTATTCTTTTTTGAAATAGTTTGAAGTTTGCCTAATGTGTTTTATAAAAATTATCTCAGAAATGGATACGGGTTTTTCAGAAAATCCACAGGCTTTAGTAGTTGAGAAAGTACTTTAGAGAAATAGTTTTTTTCACAGGTAGGCGTTTGTCTCCCATGTATTTGATAAAGTTTATAAAACTGATATTGGCCCAAGTTACCAAAAGTTTTAACATGGAAAAAGAACATAAACAGCACAGTTGGGATCAAAGTAGTAAAAATTATTTGTACTTTTTGGAATAGTACATTATTAGCCTTTTATAATTTGCAATATAAAATTGGGTCCTCATATTTATGGGTACATTGAAATGACAGTTTTGTTTTAAAATTTTTATCATTAAAATCTCAATGATAGTTTAAGAAGGAAATTCCTTATTTAGTTTTATAATGGAATATTCAAAGTAGAGAAAGAACTGAGATAATAAGATATTTGTAGATATTTATATCTGGTTTAAAATCTTTATATCTGTTACAGAAATTGTTATTTGTGTAGTACATAGAAATATGCTTAATCTAAGGGGTTTCCTGAAATTAATTATCTGCCTGCCTTAGTGGTATTGTTCTTTCTTTTTGGAGGAGGGGGAGATACTTATTCCATGAACATGAGATTTCTGAAATTTTATTTTTACGTATAACAAATCTTTCTATATATCTCATTTTATGAAAAATATTAAAATGGGATTTTTTTTCTATTGTTCTCAGCAGTTGGCTTTATCTAAGTTATGGCTGCTAGCAATGGTGTGGAAGAGAGATTTGGAAAAGAATGTTTTGTAAAACCATTTGATCATTAGCCTTCTTTCTGCTATTGGGGTTATATGCATAAAATTATTAGAATGTTAATCTATTGAAAACTCACTATTGAACAGTATTTGTTTTTTACTCTCTTCTAGAAGCCAATAGGGCAGCATAGGTAAATTACTGTTTCTGGTGTGTTATGTTTATTTGGTCTTCAAAGGAGTTGTTAAGACACACTGAAATTTTTGTTTTCCTGTTTTCCCTTGACAGACAGTGGGGGAGGAAATGGCTGGTCCTAATCAACTCTGCATTCGCCGCTGGACTACCAAGCATGTAGCTGTTTGGCTAAAGGATGAAGGCTTCTTTGAATACGTGGACATATTGTGCAATAAGCACCGACTTGATGGAATCACATTGCTAACGTTGACTGAATATGATCTCCGATCTCCTCCTCTGGAAATCAAAGTCTTAGGGGACATCAAACGATTAATGCTTTCTGTCCGAAAATTGCAGAAAATACATATTGATGTTTTAGAAGAGATGGGATACAACAGTGACAGTCCCATGAGTTCCATGACCCCTTTCATCAGTGCTCTTCAGAGCGCAGAGTGGCTCTGCAACGGGGAGCCTTCGCATGACTGTGATGGACCCATTGCTGATTTAAATTCTGATCAGTACCAGTACATGAATGGTAAAAACAAACATTCTGTTCGAAGACTGGACCCAGAGTACTGGAAGACCATATTGAGTTGTATATATGTTTTTATAGTGTTTGGATTTACATCTTTCGTTATGGTTATAGTCCATGAGCGAGTGCCTGACATGCAGACCTATCCACCACTCCCAGATATATTCTTAGACAGGTAAGTTTTGTTTTTAGTTGCCAAGTTTGTAGACGATTGCTATAACAGCAATGATAAAAGCCTGTTTATGATAACTATGTTGTTTATTATTATTGTTTTGGTTGATATATACTTTTCATTTGCTTTATCTGATAGTATAGAAAGATAAGCTTTGAAATTGCCTCTTTCTCTTAGAGCAAATTAGACCTTAACCCTAGGTAAGTGAGAAAGACCACTGTTTAATTTACTTTTCTATAACTATATTATAGCTCCTTGAGCACTTAAGATTTTAAAGGGGTTTCCCAGAATGTTGTTTGTAATAAATGGAATTTGGTTACTTTTTTTAAATGATGATTGGGGTTCTACTTTTCCAAAAATATGGGGAGTTCTCTTGTATCACCAAATAAATTGGAACTATCACAAATAGTACATACCGATTCATTAATAGTATTCTGTTGTTTTTATGAAATACCAAATGCATTAAAGAAGACTGTAGTTATATATTTGAAAAATAAGACTAGAACAAACCTCAAAATGGTTAGTTTTTATATTTGTGATTTTTAAAAGTCTTTTTAAAGTTTGTAGTGCTTTTTGTTTATTTCTATAAAATGTTTTGCCCTCCTGAAAGTGCCTCATAGTAGATTGGGGCGGGGGGGGGGTATTGTATTTTTTTCCATTACCATTTATCCCCTTATAGCCTTTCTACTTCCATAAGTATATTTTTTTAATCAAGTGGATTAAAATTTCCACTTGAAGATGGCAGAATGACATACATATCACATTTTGTCCCATCTTAAACCCCAACTAAAAGCATAGTCAAGAGGTTTTTAATGTTTGTTTGCTTTATGTTGTAAGTTCACAAGGATTGGGCAGATAGGAGGGGAGAATACAGCTGCACATATTTGAAAGTTTAAAAACAGATGGATGAGTGGCAACGAGAAGACCTAAAATAACCTAATTCTAAAACAGCAGTCAGGAAATCTGAGAACCAACCCAATCTATCTTTCAGATTTCTCAAAGCTCTGGATATTGGAGGTTAAAGAGTGGTTCTAAAATAAGGAGCATCAAATAAAAACTGTATAAGATGTTAGATCCCTGTATCTCCTCTCTTTATACAATTTTCCCAAATGTAAATGAAGACCCCAAGGAAGTAAGGAAGAAAGCGTGTGGGTAGCTGGGAATGAATACTCTAGGCAGAGGAAACAGCAAGGTGCAGAAATCCAAAATTGGTAGTGCGCTTTAGCATGTTTAAGGAACAGCAAGTGAAAGATGCGTAGAACAGTTGCAGATGAGATCTGAGAGGAGAGGAATCTGGATTGTGTAGGGACTGTTGCAAGGACTTTAGCTTTCATTTGGAGTGAAAAGGGAAACCATGGGGAAGTATTGAGGAGAAGAGTAGAGTGAACTAACTTCAATTTTAAAGGTTCCCTCTAGTTGTATTAAGAATAGCCTGGGGGTGGGGGTGGAGTAGGAAAACAGGGATTAGGTGAATTGTCGAATTCATCTAGAGAATGAGGTGGATTGAATGAGTTTAGCAGCTGGTAGAGATGGTGTGAGTCAATCTCTCTCTCTGTCTGTCTTTCTCTTTCTCTCTCTATATTATTTTTGATGGTATACCCAAAAAGATTTGCTGATGAATTAATATGTAAAGTATAAGTGAAAGAGAAAAGTCAAGAATTATCCCAACATTTTTGACCTAAGCACCTGGAAGGATGGAGTTGCCCTTTACAGGAATGGGAAGAATATAACAGGGGTGTCCAATCTGCGGCCTGAGGACTGCATGTAGCCCAGGATGGCTGTGAATGCGGCCCAACACAAGATCATAAATTTACTTACAACATTATGGATTTTTTTTGTGATTACATGTCACAATGTATTTAATGTATGGCCCAAGACAACTCTTCTTCCTCCAGTGCAGCGCAGAGATGCCAAAAGGTTGGATACCTCTGCAAGGAACTGACTTGGAGAAAAATTAAGGGTGTGATTTTAGACATGTCAAGTTTGAGCTATCATTTATACCAAATCAAGTAAGAGATGGAAAGATGAGTTAGAATATGGAGAGATTTAGGCTGATTTGGGGGCATTACCAGCATAGGTAAAGCTATCATATTAGATAAAGTCTCCTGGGAAGTGAGAGGGAAAATTGAAGGGAAGATTGAAGATTGAGCCCAAGACAATTATAACATTTAGAGGTCAGAGAAGTAAGGTAAAACTAGCAAAGAAAACTGAGAATGTCAGAGCAGAAAAAGAGTTATTTATCCTGGAAGGCAAGTTTAAAAAGCAATTTAAGAAAACAGGAATAAGTAATAATTATCTCTGTCAAGTGCTGCTGAGGGGCCAAGTAAGATGAGGTTAATGGACCGTTGGATTTATCTACATGTTGGTCATCAGTAACATTGATACTTTGATGAAAGTTAGTAAGGGCAAAAACCTGATTTTAATGGATTCAAGAGAGAATGTGAGACTTACTGGAATTTACCTAAAAGTATATCTCCACAAATATGAAACAACATGTGTGCAAAGTTATTTATTATGACATTATTTGTAATAATTATAAATACTGTAAATATTCTAAATGCTTATCTGTAGAAAACTAGTTGAATATACTAAGGTATATCTATATAATAGAGTAATGTTTAATAAAAAAAAAAAGAATGATGAAGATTTCTGTGAGCAGGTACAAAAAATTGCAGAAATACCCTGACTGGTGTGGCTCAGTTGGTTGGGCATTACTCCACAAAGCAAAAGGACACTGGTTCAATTCCTGGTCAGGGCACATGCCTGGATTGCAAGTCAGCTCACCTGTCAGACACATGCAGGAGGCAACTGATTGATGTTTCTCTCTCACATCAATGTTTCTCTCCCTCTCTTTCTCCATCCCTTCTCTTCTCTCTAAAAAATAAATAAATAAAATCTTTGGAAAAAAAAAGATTTGCAGGAAAAACTCAATAGTAGTGAGCACCTTTAGCATACAGATCATGGTTTCTAAATACCAAAACCTATGAAAAGGACCCCAGACCAAGGCTCCTTAGAAAAATGGCTGATTTTTAAGTCTGGGGCAAATAAAGTAAAAAATGAGCCTGAAATAGATCTTCTGCCATAAAGCAAGGAAGTGCACAAAACCAATGGAAACATGTCAAAAGATGATAGGCACTTATATGAAGGGGCTCCCTTCCATTGATCAACTTAGGACAATTGGAACATTAAAAAGAATAGTGATGGTAATGAATTACAATATATAGGGGTTGGCAAAAGTAGGTTTACAGTTGTGATACTAATAAATAATACAATAAATAATACAAGAATAAACTTTCATGTACTCACTACTGTAAAACTACTTTTGCCCCCTCCTGTATTGAATAAGAATAAGAGTCTGAATTTATAGTGAGAAACAAAACAAGCAAAAAGTGGTGGGGTGAGAGGGAAAGTTCTTCAAGAATAATACCAGCAAATAACTATGGGTGGCCTATTTTCCAACTGCCATTATAATAATTGATTCAGGCAAGTGGATGCTAAAATCTATTAGGTGAAAGGCCATTGGGGAGCAGGATAGTTACATGATCTGAAAGTATCATCTCACATAATAATTAATTACAGGGGTTATAAGGTACCTTTACAATGGTGACACCTGGCATGTGTCATTTTAACCAAATGGTCAAAGGTAACAACATCACAGTGGGACAAATTGATATTATATACATTGGATATGATGTTTACAAATCACCTATGTAATAATCTTGCCAAAAAATGTATTCTAATCTAATCCTGAGAAAATTATTAGACAAATCCAGAACATGGAACATCCTACAAGACAGCTAGCTGATTTAGACTCTCCAAAAATGTCAGTGTTGTGGCAGACAAAAGGCAGGTGGGGGAAATTGTAAGAGAAATTGAAGAGACATACCCAAGAGTAATGCGTGAACTTTAATTAGCTCCTATTTTAAGAAAAATAAATACTGCTGTAAAGGGTATTTTGGAAACAATAAGAAAAATTTGAATATGGATCGCATATTAAATGATGTGGTATAACACTAAATCATTGATGTAGTTTCCTGGGTGTAGTGTATAGGGTTATGAAGAGGATATCCTTGTTCTTAGGAAATACATATTAAAATATTTGAGGGAAAAGTGTTATAATGTCTGCAACTTATTCAGGAGAGTGTATATGTGTGGGTATTTATAGAAAGCGGGAAATAGAGCAAATATGAAAAATGTTAATTATTGTAAACAATTAGATTTAAGTGAAGAATATTATAAAGTGTTTATTCTTTCACCTTCTCATTTGGTATGGTCAGAATTTTTCAAAGTAAAAAATGGGCAAAGAAGTGTGAAGAGAGAAAGAGAATAGGAAGAAAGAAATTGGAAACAATCAGGTCTTATAGGTTTTCTTTTAAGGGCAGCAGAGAAATGAAGCTATAGCATGGGGAAAGGGGGAAAGGATATGGAATCACCAGGGTATTGTTTTGGATGGACTGTGTTATAGCATGTGTGTTGAATGATGATAGGAATGACCCAATTTGGGGGGTGATGTTAGAGGAAAGAGAGGGTACATTGTTGGAGTCACGTCCTTGAGTATATGAAAAAGAATGGGATCCAGTGGGTGAGAGAGGCTGGTCTTAGGCACATGGACTGTTCATCCATAACAGAGGGGAAAGTAGAAAAGATGGAAACAGAGGTATGACGTTGCTGGATATGATGGTGGAACATTAAGAAATGCTCTCCTGATTGTTTTTATTTTCTTTGTGAACAGAGTTAGAATGGAAAGAAGGTTGGTGGTTTGAGGAGAACAGATGAGATGTAAAATAGTCATCTAGGAGAGTGAATAGACTTGTATGATATAGTAGCAGCACTAAAGGCTTCCTTCTGGTTGCTAGTCATGTTGGCATTGTGCGTTTTGCCAGTCTGACTCAACTGCACAGACATAGAAATAGAATAGGTAGATAATTGGATTTAAGGAGAACTGAGGTTTTGTTAGGCAGTACAATGAAGAAAAAAGAGGCAAGGGAGTGATTATAATGACT